GACGGAAGAGTCGTGTGTGCTGTGTGAGACCCAGTTCATACAGTTCAGAGAGACATTTCAGAAAGCTGGATACTGATTGGACTCATTTGATGTTTAGGAATTAGGGAAGATTTTATTAGGTGCAGTAATAGGACAGTGGTTACGAATGGAGTCCTTGGCAGTCAGGGACGTCTTTGTTAATGATGACTGAGAGATAGTAAAGGGTCTTGAGATAAAGCTCCTTGGTTGAATGCTTGCCTTGCAAAGCCCTGCAACCAATCATATATAAATATATAAATATATATGGTAGTTGTTGCTGCTATGATAAAAATCCCCTGACAACTAGGAAGATTGAAGATTGAGTCAGGGAAGGAATAGATGAGAGAAGGGAGAGGGGGGGACCATTAAAAACGCAGAGAGGAAGGACAAGACCAGGCTACAGAAACCCACAGAGACAGCTGACCTGAACTAGGAAGAGCTAACAGGCCCCCAGACTGACAGCTGGGAAACCAGCATGGGACTGACTCAGACCCCCTGAACATGGGTCTCAGTTAGAAGGCCTGAGCAGTCTAAGGGACCTCTGACAGGGAACCAGGATGTATTTCTGGTGCACGAAAGGACTGGGGGAGCGCATTCCCCAAGGAGCAATACTCCCTTAACCTAGAGGCAGGGAAGGCTCAGACCCTACTCCAAATGATTTGACAGATTTAGATGACCCTGGAAGGCACCACCCTACGTGTGGAGTGGGGTGGGGAGGGGATGGGAGGGTGGTCAGGGGGCATGGGAGGGTAGAAGAGAGGGAAAGAGGGAAAGAGGGAGGGAGGAAGGGAGGGGAACTTGGATTGATATGTAAATTAAAAAAAAAAAAAACTTTCAAACTTACTTAAAAAAAAAAATCCCCTGACAAAAGCAACTCAAAGGGAAAGAGGTTATTTCAGCTCCAAGGGGACAGTCTGTCCTGGCAGGGAAGTCCAGCAGGCTGGAAGGACAGGAGCAGGTCACAATCAGGACTCAGGCGTGAAGAATGGCTATGTTCATCTCACTTTCCACATGCTGCTATACAGTCCAGGCCCAAGGCTGGGGAATGAAGCCGCCCACTTCAATTAATTCCTTCCTGGGACCTCGTGAACTTTCCCCATGACAGAATGGTAATGTCTTGTGCATGCCTTGCACTGAGAATCACAGCTGCTAAGAGTCCAAGAGCACATCTTTCCCTCTGTGTGTGTGTGTGTGTGTGTGTGTGTGTGTGTGTGTGTGTGTGAGTGTGTGTGTGTGAGTGTGTGTGAGTGGGTATGTGTGAGTGCTGGGTTTGAAAGGTTTTTTTAATTTACATATCAATCCCAGTTCCCCTCCCTCCCTCTTTCCCTCTCTTCTACCCTCCCATGCCCCCTGACCACCCTCCCATCGCCTCCCCACCCCACTCCACACGTAGGGTGGTGCCTTCCAGGAGGGGTCATCTAAATCTGTCAAGTCATTTGGAGTAGGGTCTGAGCCTTTCCTCCTGCCTCTAGGTTAAGGGAGTAGCTACCTGGTTTTTTAATATATAGGCTCTGGGGCTGAGCTCAGGTCCTGTGCTTTACCACCTGCACCATTTCCCAAGCCATCGGTGCTTGCTCTGCTGTCCATGATGCCTCTGGGCTTACCATTTCCTGTTTCTTTGGCTGACTGAAGAGATTGCTGTGATCCAGTAAGCCCAGCAGGTAACCAAAAGTCATAATGATTCCCTCTTTACTTAAGAAATCCTATAAAGCCAAGTCAACAGATGGAATCCAGAAACTCTCAATCCTTGAAACGCGTCACCAAATCACTAAAAGCCTTGTTCATTGGTGGGGGGAGTCAATTCCTCAAACTTCTCAATGTCATCACTATACCCAAAGATGCCTAGGTCATGCTGCCCAGAGTCAGGCTGCCTGTGTGGTGAGAGAACTCTATGCTAGTATTTACCCCTTGACTCATTGTGGTTCCTCTTGTAAATAGTTCATTTGGCCTAGCATTGATGTGGGCTCTCTGAGATCAAAGGTCAGCATTTTCCCTAGATCAACTGTGCCTGCTTGCAAGAGACCTTCATCACATGGAGTTTGGTGACAATCGACTTCCCTAGAGAAAGAGAAGTTGGAGAGGGTCATTAAACCATGCCTAAGATGCTACCGATTCCTCCCAGTCACTTGGAGTCTCAGGAGGTGCATCAGTATCTAGGCTGGAGAGGGTTAACCCAGGATGTGGCTATGGGGAGGCATCATCACCCATGCTGGGCAAAGACTTTTCACTGTGGTAGTCACCCGTGCTCATGTAACCAACCCCTCACTCACCCTGTGTGCTACAGGTAAGCCCAGTGAACTCCCTGGCTCCCTGGGGTGAAGTTCAGTGGAATGGTACTCCGGCTTGTCATTGGGACCTTATAAGCAGATCATAATTTGATTTGTCATTGGGTCCTTGTAAACAAGGAGTAGACATTGTTTACAGCTCTTCAGGAAAGGAATTCTCATGAGGAGCTGTGTGGGTCATCTTGGATGGCTGTCTTAATTCACTCTGAATGCTGTTTGTAACAAATGCCCCGGGCTGGCTTGTAAACAGAGAAATGTATTGCTCGAAGTTCTGGAAGTTCAAGGTCAAGAGTCTCATAGAATCCTTGCTGATTCTCTCATGGCAGAAAGGGTGATATTCTCTGAGTGTCTTGTTGTAATTGCATTGCTTAGGCCAGGCAGCCTTTGAACTCACTGTGTAGATTAAGTTCACCTTGAATTTTTGGCCCTCCTGTCTCCACCTCCTACATGCTGGGCACCTGTTACCACACCCAGCTTACCAGACAAGCATTCTAGCAACTGAATCACACCCCCAACCCCCAAGGTATCATTTACAAGGACACAAATGCCACCTGTGAAGGTCCCATCCCCATAAGCTAATCACCTCACAAAGGTTCATCTTCTAAAACTGTCACTTTGTGGGTGAAGATCAGCATGGGAATTTGGGGTGATAAAATCATTCCTATCATAGTAGGGGCCCAAACACACAGTGCATGGGCTCAGTCATCGGCGTTCTGTCTTCTCCAGGGAGCAATCACAAGCTCTTCTGGTTCAGGGAATCCACTGAGTCCATCAGAGTAGCTCCAAGTTCCTCCAATAATGGGAACTAATTGCCCGACACAGTGGTGACTCAGTAGTGTTCTTTTGGACTGAATAGAACATGATGTTGTTTGAAGCCTACTTGTTCAATTCAGTGTACTTAACTCATCAAACTCAAGCCTCTACAACTCTAACCACGTCATCTGAGCTTATGGTTGAGAATTAGTATCCTAACCAGAGAGAGAACAACACATTTCTATACATAATGGAGGTAAGTCAGATCCTCCACTGCAAGGTGGCTGAGAGCCCTTGGATTTTTAAAGCAAGGAGATGTGATATTCTGATTTTTTTCCTCCACCGTAATGGTTCTAGCCCTCAAAATCTCCATTCTATTGTTCCCTGCCCTTCGCTCCTTCCTTACCAAGTATCCTATCTGTTCCTCTCTATCCTATTTTCCTAGAAGCAGAATTCAGCATCTCCCTTCATTACCTTGGTTTGAGGCCTATAGCTTCCCAACTAGACACAACTGAGAGCCATGTGTGCTGAGAACCATGGCTTTAGTTGGATAATTGAATGCATAGATCAGGGGCCTGGGAAAGGTGGTCCCTAGACATCATCTCGGGATATCATGAAGTCATAAACCCCAAACCCACACATCCTGAGATCCAATCTGACCATTTCCCAGGGAGTCTAGGATAGCAACAAGAAAGGGTCTGGTTTGTTTGAGCAGGGGGGATGGGGGGTGGGGGGGAGGGGAGGGAGGGAGGGAAGGATGATAGCTGAGGCTTGGGAACCCAGTAACAGAACACAATGAGAAAGCTGAACTTGAAAATGGAGGGGAAATGTGAGGATCAGAGTTCAGATCCTCAGAATTCATGAAAATTCCGGGTGGGCATGGTGATTGCCCGTGACCCCAGTACACCAGAGGCAGAGACTGGGCATCCCCAGGGCAAGCTGACAAGTCAAACTGGCAGGAATCTGTGAGTTCGTTTCAGTGAGGGACCCTGATTTAATAAATGGAATGCAGCTGAGGAAGATATCCAACATCAACTTCTGGTCCCCAAATGCACATGCACACACACACACACATGCACATACACATGTAACTACACATGCACATACACACACATGCAAGTGCACATGCACACTCACACACACATGTAAATACACATGCACATACACACACATGCAAGTGCACATGCACACTCACATATACATGTAAGTATACATGCGCACACACACATGTAAGGACACATACACACACATGCAAGGGCACACACACTTACCACATACATGTACATACAAATGAGAAGGAAGGTACTACTTGCATGTACCATCTGACTGTACAATGCCTCCTTGGTTTCAAGGGCCCTGTATGAAATCTTCCCAGAACCCCAAGTCTTAGGTCGGTGCCCCTCTCAAGTGGTACAGAGCCATGTACCACTTCCAAGCCCAGTACTTTACACACAATATACCAATCATCTTGCAGAACCAGAAATCCAGGGAGATAGGAGCTCTGTGTTTGTGGAACGAGTGAATTCTTACAAGTCTTCATAAGCCTTTAACTTTGAAGGAGTCCTTGCTTCCCTAAGCACAGTCTGTTGATTATGGCTGTTGGTGTCCCATAGTGTACAGGAGACATCCAGCAAAAGGAGGAAAGAGGCTGAAACCGAGTCTTATCCTCGCCACTGAGCTGTCTGGATGCACTCAGAGGAAGAGGAGCCTTTTCCTGCCATGCACAATAGCACCATATGGGCTTCCAGCAAGCCAGCTCTGTGTGCTGAGCAACAGCCGTCCAATGGAGATGGGGGCTCCCTGCTTTCCTAGAAAGGCTAGGGCTGAGGGATTTTATAACACTGTCTCTTCCAGTCCTTCACCAGCCTCCAAGCCCACACACCAACCCCACTCTCAGACAAGCTCTCGCTCACTCTTTTCTCCTCTGCTTTTTGTCTTCGTCAGGGTTTGGGATGACAACCCCAGCCACAATGGGAGGGAAGATCTTTCTGATCTTCTACGGACTCATTGGATGTGCAAGCACCATCCTCTTCTTCAACCTCTTCCTGGAGCGGCTGATCACCGTCATTGCCTATGTCATGAGATCCTGTCACCAGCAGCAGCTGCGGAGGCGTGGGGCAGTGACCCAGGACAACATGAAGACCCCTGAAAAGGGTGAGGTGGATAGCCTGGCCGGCTGGAAGCCCTCTGTGTACTACGTCATGCTGATCCTATGCTTGGCATCAGTGACCATCTCTTGTGGGGCCTCAGCTCTGTATGCCACCATGGAAGGCTGGAGCTATTTTGACTCACTCTACTTTTGTTTCGTGGCTTTCAGTACCATTGGCTTTGGGGACCTGGTCAGCAGCCAGAATGCTCAGTATGAGAGCCAAGGACTCTACCGCTTTGCCAACTTCTTCTTCATCCTCATGGGCGTCTGCTGCATCTACTCCTTGTTTAACGTCATCTCCATCCTCATCAAACAGACTGTGAACTGGATCCTGAGGAAACTGCATAGCGGGTGCTTCCCACGATGCCAAAGAGGACTCCTGCGGTCCAGGAGGAATGTGGTGATGCCTGGCAACATCCGGAACAGGTGCAACATCTCCATAGAGACGGATGGGGTGATGGAAAGTGACACTGATGGGCGACGGCTCTCGGGGGAGATGATCTCCATGAAGGACACCAACAAAGTCTCACTAGCCATCCTGCAGAAGCAGTTGTCCGAGATGGCCAATGGTGGGCCCCACCAGCCCAATGCATCCTCCAGGGATGATGAGTTCTCAGGGGGTGTGGGGGCCTTTGCGGTAATGAATAACAGGTTGGCAGAGACCAGTGGAGACAGGTAGGAACCAGAAGTAGCTGCTAGATGAAGAGACCCAGGGACACGTGGAGGATAAGACACTGTCCTACCCCCAATGAGCTCAGCTGAGTCCCTGGCTGTTGCAATTCGCTTCTCAAGTCCAGCTTTTGAAATCTGACATTAGCCTCAGGCAATAATAACCTCTCAAGGTTGGGGACTGGAGCCTCCTTGCCTGCCTCTTATTTTACTCTTGACTTCCAAGTTTCATATTTGGAATTGCTGAGGTCCTCACCATCCCCAAGAGTTTTAATTGTTCAAGGAAGATGGGGTTTCCTCCAGCTTTGATTTCGCCCTGATGGTCCATCACTTGGGAAGGAAAGCCCTGGAGAGCCTAATTCTAGCCTGGAACTGTGAATGGCTGAATTCATCACTTCACCCAGCCCCTCCAGGAAAGGGAAGGAACATTCCAGAATGCATCTGGGCCTTCTTTTTATTGGGCTTCCTTCCTTCCTAACATATTTGTTGTTGGTCCCATAGATGGAGAGAGACATCTAATCGCTTCTTTACACCTGCTTCTTGGCTTGAGTTTTTCATTTGCTGTTTTCTCTTGTTTGTTTTACTTCCTGATTGGCTAATGTATCTTTGGAATCTTATGTGATAAGAAAATCAGTTCATCTTCAAGCCTTTAAGCTGCAGCAGGGTGATGGTAGAGAGTCAAGGGAGGGGAGCAACTTCCTTTGTAACCAAAGCCCACAGTCCAATGTGTTCTCTCTGATGGTACACAGAATGTGCCATTTTGCCAGGGCTTGGAGCCTATTGTAGAGGGCACTGACTATTTATTAGAACTGAAAATTTAATAAATTCTCATTTTGTTAACTAAGAGGCCATGGGTAATCATTCTGGACAGTGGAACGGGAGCTGGAAATATGAGCCTCCTCTTGGAGTCTGGGCCGGAGCAGTAACATTCTAGGTCACATAATGAAGCGTGGTTTTCTTGTCTCAACCATTGCAGGGCAGGCTTCTGGGACTGTACCAAGGCTAACGATGTGACGCTCCCAGGCTTCAAAGAGCATCCCTCCTGGGAATGGAGTTTGCTGGCCTTCATGAATGCAAGAGACAACCCATAAGGCTCTTGAGGAGTCATTTTTTACAAGGCTAGAGTGGGTACCCATGGCACTTCGAGAAGCAATTAGGTGGACCAGTGAAGAAGACAGCTGAAAACCAGTCAAGGCAAGGGCAGAGCAGGGAGCCTGGGAGCTGAGAGAACCCTCTGGGCATCCTCTCACCCCACCCCCTTGACTTTCACAAAGGAAGCAGTAGGTAACCCAAGGGACAGCTCCTCATCTGAGGCTCAGGCCTGGCTGGATGCAGTTGGGAGGAGACTCGGGTCTCCTGGGGATGAATGTGGGTCTCTTGGGCCCTGTTCCACCCAGCTTTGAGCTGCTTTCCCAGGACTCTCTGAAGGCAGGGCTGTCCAAAGCTGCTACCAAATCTTGGTAGGCACTGTCACCAGAAAGCGAGCTCTGTGTCACCAGCAGCTGTGTGCTGCTTCTTAGCAGTTTATTGGTGTCCATATTCCTGGTCCAAGAGCAAGCACAGAGAAGGTCATTGCTTCTCTGTGTCGGTCCCTAGAGACCATGGCAGTGTGCCAGGAGACCCATTGTCATAGGCTCAAATTCCAAGAGGGTCAGCTTCGAAAGCGGATGCTTACAAGGTGGTTCTATCATAACACGCGATCCCTGTAAGTGGGGTCCAGCATTGGCATACTTTCCAGCTGTGTTTTTTATTTGTTGAGACAGGTTCTTGATATGTGGCCCCAGCTGGCCTTGAAGTCATCATCTTCTCTCAGATGCTGCCATTACGGGAGTGAGTCATCGTACCGAAGTCAGATAGAGTTTTAGAAAATTGAACTTGGGCTTCCTAAAATTCCCCTCTTAGTCTCAGAGAGTGAGATGTTTTTCTCTGGGCTGAGGGTTCCCTAATGGGAGCATTGGAGAATCTGTGTTAGGAGAAAGGTATATGGGGGACTAGAAGGAAGAAAAGGAGGAAGGGAGGGAGGGAGGAGGGAGGGAGGGAGGAAGGAAGGGAGGAGTAAAACAAACTTGAAAAACCCTCATTTAATAAAGCCTCTTACAGTTACTCATAGTCATGAACTGGTCAACGGGACATTATAGACACTAATCATGGTAGCCAGAGTCCACAAGGCTCCTGATAGAGTGCCAAGTACACACATAGCAGGGAACCACGCTTGTGGACATACTTTTCCCAGGTGACAACAGCCATAGCTTTCTCTAGTTACCTCTTCTTGCCATGTCGCCTCTGTTCCCACCCGGCATGCCTCCAGCTCTCCTTAAGCATCTTCTCAGCTTCCCCTCGGGCCTGTTACCCTGTGCTCTCAGGGAGTTGTGCTGCGCCCAGAAGCCTGGTGGTCAAGGGAAAAGTGCTGTTCCCAGAAGGCATTGCAACTGGCCCAGAATCCTGTGTCAGGAGTTCAGGGTCTCCCCAGCAATGATGCTTTTCAGGCTTCTCCTGGAAGATCCAGGGTTCTCTGTGACACAGGAATGTGAGCTGGCAGCCGCTGTGCCTCTTGTGAGCTTCATCCCATGTTGCTTGCCTGATCTGCGGCAGAACACTCCATGCTTCCGGCTCCTCAGCGTTCCCACTGACTCAGCTTCTAATTCTTTTTGTTTTTAAGAGAGACTGTCATACTAAATGAAAAGCCTGTAAGCAGCTGCTATAAATAGGAGACCCAGAAACTAGGGAAAATGATAAAGTGATGTGCAAACTGTGGTATTAAGTTCTATCCAGACCTGTATCTTAGCAAAGGCTCTAAGCCTGAAGGATTTTTTCTGTTTAAAAAAAATGGAGGCTAGGTGGCTATGGTAGTACCTGCTGAGGTGAGAGGATCCAGAGTTCCAGGACCCTGCCCCAAAACAAAAGACCAATGAGATGGCTCAGTGGGTAAAATCTTGCTGCCAACCTTGACAACGTGAGTTCAATCCCTGAGACTCACATGGTGGAAGAAAAGAATTGTCCTCTGCCACACTCACCCACACAGAAACACACATGCACAAAAATAAAATTAAAAAAAAAACTATTTCATTTCACATTTAAAAAAAGAAAGTATCATTGCCTTTAATTTTCACACATACAAATAATAGCAGAAACAAATACAAAAAAAATACATGGAGGAACAGTCACATATCAGCACTGTGGATGCTATTCTTAGATGAACAGTATTGCTTTTGCAATACTCAGAATAAGGCTGTTTTTGCCTCTGGGCATGCTGCCTCTGAGGAAGGCCATAGTTGCTTCCATGAAGGATGGGAAGGAATTCATTTTAATTAGCCCTGCCTGCTGACTATCTGTCATTTCACATTTTTTAAAGGACAACAGAAAACATATCAGGAGGTGGTAGTGCACACATGCATCTGTGTAGTGCACACATGCTCTATGATAAAGTCAATTGGACCAGAAGGGAGTTGGGAAGAAAATGACCCCCACCTTGTGTTCCTATGTTAATTCCACACCTGAAGACCTCTAAAGTCATCTCCCATTCTGCCCGTACCCTTGGTGTCCACATCTGGAACAACAGCACACAAATGACAGAGTACTGTTCCTGAGGTCGGGCCAGTGTGTGAGAACACCAGGGCTGGAACCCCAGTGTGGGAGAGGGGGGGGACCAGTCTGTGTGCCATCTCTGTGGAAATGCCAAGAACTCCAGCTCCCTTTGCAAGCTGGTGGAAGGATCCAATGAGGAGATGGCCCTGGAAGGCATCAGGATCCTATGGATCTGTGTGGGCAGTGGGTTGCTAGTTTGTGTTTCAGGAGAGGAGGCACATTACATCCAGCCAGGAAAGATTTTGCATGGTTCTAGCACTTGGCACCCATTGCTTGCTGTATCATTTAAATCAGCAGTTCTCAACCTGTGGGTCGAGACCACTTGGGGGTTGACTAGCCTTTCTCCAGGGTCACCTAAGATCATCAGACAACACAGATGCTTACATTACAATTCATAACAATAGCAAAAGTACAGTTATGAAGTAGCAACAACAATAATTTTATGGCTGGGGGTCCCCACAACATGAGGAACTGTACTAAAGGGTCGCAGCAATTGGAAGGGTGAGAAGGATTAAATGGCTGTCCTTCTGTTCAATGCTTCACTTTAGTTTTCCACCTCCCATCCCCCGCCCCCAAGTCCTTATAACTGTTTCAGAGGGTTTCCATTTCAGTATCAGCTGATCTCATCAAACCATTTGATACAATACAGGTTCAATCTCCAGAAAAGTATAAAAATCCAGTACTTATAGAGAAAACAACCACAAAGGTAAATTCTGGAAGACACCATGTTGCTCAAGAGAACAAAGCTAACATCATAGTGGAACATGTTATCTGACACAACACACTGAAAGGTGACCCATCACCTCCATCCGACCTCGAGAGTGCATCAGCTGAACCCAAACTGGGGAGCATCCTATAGGGTAACTGATTGGGACTCTTTAAAGCTCGGGATGATGGAGACTGATGAGCTATGTGGAGGATACAGAGGAGAAAAGAGCCATGATTGGGCCCTGAAACACACAGGTTAGGGTCTTGGGTTGGATCATGGAGTATGGAGGGAGCATTGAAATTGGAATGAAGTCCAATGAGTGGTGTTGTCTAGTTAATAGTGCTGCCCTGAGTTTAAAACCTTAGTGTGAATGAGTGTTCTGTGGTTATGTAAGACATTCGTTCCCATAAGGGGAAGTTGGGTAACAAGTATATGGGAACACTCTGCACTATTTTTACAACTTGCATATAACTCTAAAATTATCTCAAAGTAAAAGAATTAAAGAGAAACAAAACAAGGCTCTCTGCAGCTGGCACAGCCAGGCACACCTGGACTGGGGTGTGACAAGCTCACAGCTGTGACTTCAGTTCAGACTCTTATCCTCAGTAGGTGAGGCCACCAGCTTGAAGTCAAGCTTGGGGAGGTGGGGGGTGCTTCTCAGGCCAGAGGCAGCAGCATCAGTGACCCAAAACTTGTTACAGGTGCAAATTCTCAGATTAAAGGAAGGCACTCCAAATTCCAGTGTTAGCAAGTCCTGAAGGCGAGTCTTCAGTGAGCCAAAATTGGGGAGCCCCTGGAATAAAGTGTTAAAAAACCTAATTCTTATAAATGTACACTTTCCATGTGTTGGATATTGTTTTGAATTTATTGGTAGTGTTTTGTTTTGTTTTGTTTTGTTTTGTTTAGAGGCAGGAGGATCAGGAGTTCAAGGCCAGCCTTGGCTATATATTTTAAGGCTATCCTAGATTTCATGAGACCTTGTGTCAACACAGAGAGAGAGAGAGAGAGAGAGAGAGAGAGAGAGAGAGAGAGAGAGACAGCCAGAGAGAGAGAGATGTAAATTAGTTAATAAATAATGTCTACCTTTTTAGCACATGTTAAGAAGGCAGACATGGTCCCCATTGCACCATGGGTGCAAAGCTGTGACATGGCCTATGCTA